ACACAGATTATAAATTAAAATTAATTTAGCTATCTATATAATAAGATTTCGCGTAAATTTGTGTCATTGAAAAATAGATAGATTTTGAATTCAGGAGAAGATTTTGTTGATCATTCTACAATCTATTTGATAAGCAGCATTACTGTGATGTAATGCTACCAGCAGCTAACGTAATGCTGAGGTAAGCAGTGTTACTATGATATAATTGTTACCAACAACATTGCCGGCTACTGATGGCAGCCATACATATGTATACAAGTATTCGAAATTATGTCTAGACCATTGTTCGGAGACCATCTGCTTGTCATCTGTTGGCTGCTGTCTGCTTCTGTTAATCATTTACACGTTTTTCAGATGTGCAAGTACATAGCTGAGTTGAGCCGTTATTCATTCCGGCATATTAAATGTCCTAAAGACCAGTAAGCAAGTGTATTGCTCTAAAGAGGAAACAAGAAATGGATACACTCTTTTTTATGTAAAGCATAGATTTGAGGTATTTTCAGGGGAACGTACAAGGTTCAAGAAAACGTTAAGATGCTCATTTATAGGTTTTTCTTGAGTTCATATTAGTATAAATCATAAACATAAATTAAGTAATAATGCATTTCTTTTTCAACCAGAAGTTTGGACATTATTGAAAGCCTTAGAATGACTGGTTACATATTGTGGCATAGAAGAAGTTATACGTTTATTCAGATAGCCAACGCACATTGCAAGCGGTAATGTCTGGAAGATGTTTTACTAATTTAGCTCACGACGCGCGCCAGTTGGTTGATGCAAATATCTTTAAAAAGAAATATAACATTTCGTTGAATTCGTGGGACATACCGAGATTTATGATAACGAGCTTCCTCATTTGAATGCAAAACTTGCTACTGAAAAAAACTTTGCTTATATAGTTGCGTCAACCCCTTTTGAAAATTTTAAAGGAATTCTTACAACTAAGATTATTGAAATTTGGCAAGAATGTGGATCAATGAAGAAGCATTTCTAACTACATTTAAGCATTTGAAGATTATTGATAAAACGAGGTGTATTTGAAATGATCATTTAAATCAATTTCTTCCAAATCATAGTTCCAGCTTATTATAATCACTTTGCGATTAAATCAATAAGTTGTAAATATGGAAATAAAAACGGCTATATTGAACATGTTATATTATGTGATAGGTTAAGAAATAAATGGATTAAAATTTTACGATCTCTCCAGAAAACCAGAGACTTCAATAAACTATTTCAAAATGAGAAAACAAAACTGGGATACTAAAGTAAGTAAAGATATTAAAAGAGATGACACAAAGTGAAAATGTTTTATATGTTGATTGATATTATATCTTCTGTCATTCCTAAAGAATTGTTATTATATTTTACAAGATCAAATAATCTGAAGAAAACTTTATTGGAATAATTGTAATTATTTTGTAGGGGATAAAGGTATTGTTCTATATATGTATTGTGTAACTATGTATTCAAATTATAATACGGGTAGTATTACATTTTACAATATATTTTTTATTGTAAATCTAGAAATGGTTACTTAAAATTATCGTATTGTATTTTTGTTTAATCTGTTGTAAAATAAGTTGCATGTAAAATTTTAGGTATTACTTATTTAATTATAATTGCCAAGTTGTACAATTTATTTAATAAAGTTATTTGTTGGCTGTCCCAGGGGAAGTGGTCTCCCAGTCTTTTACGGTTGAGTACAGTATGGTGGAAATAGATTTAAATGAATAACTGGTTTCGTTAATCCCTATGTTTACCTACCAAATATGGTTAGGCAGGAGTATTTACCAATCTTACCTTGTACATAAAATCCTATCATTGCAAGTTTATCATAGTTACATAAAATTGTACATAAGTGCATTTAGTTGATATTTTACTATTACTAAAAGGAATGATCACTTTCGTAATTATTCTAACTTCCCAAGTTAAACGACTTTAAAAGTAAATAAATTTATAGCATAATTTTTTGCTATTTGAAACTTAAAAAAATTAACAATGTATTTCTTTAAAATACAGAGTTTTGTTACATTAATATTATTTATACAGTAAATTAAAATTCTTTATTTACTATCTAAAATTTATTTTTATTGAAAACATAGTCCAACTATTTGATCTCATTCTTTTAGGACACATGATCCTAAAGATCAATGATTAGGATACATGATTTTTGAAATCAAATACTTCATGGAAACATTCCATGTAATAAAGACGTAATTATTCCATTTTATTCAATATTCCCATACCATCAAACTAATGTAATAATATAGGTATCAATCCATATAATGGATACCAAATATAAACTGGTGGAATTTTAATGCGAATAAACATAGCTGTTGGACATTAATAGGCTGCTTGAATGTGAATGATTATATTATTATTGAATTCTCAGTAAAAAATGAAAGTTATTTCATTATGGATTAAATAAATTGAAAAGTTGGATTTCCTGATAAATAAAATAAAATTATAGAATGAATATGAAGGAAGTGGAGATCAAGATACCTAACTATTATTATCGATATTAAATTAAATTTCACACAGGACTGGCTAATCGTAGGATAATTATATATAATTTAGATTTTCCTCTTTTAAAAAATAAAATAATGTTGTTGTTACTAATAATATTAATTTTAGATTTGAAGTTATGATACTTATTTTTATGAAGACTTGCAAGATTAAATTTCAAACAAAAAGGGATTTTTATAGATCTATATTCCATCCATTACTAAGAAAAAAATGTAGCTATTATCGTTTCTTTTAAATATTGCTTACTATAACAGATATCTGACGGAAAACTTAAGTCTAACTTTTGAATTTCTTTTTGTCGAGAAAATGTATTTTCGGCAAAAGAATAAAGTATTCTTGATACGGATGTTAATGATCCCTTTTTTAAAAGATTGAAACTTTTAATATTGAAATACATTTGCTTACTGTTTATGTTTTGTAAGTAATAGAAACATTAATAATTCTACTAAAAATTTTTCAAAAATAACATTGAGAAGAAGAAAAAAAGAATTAAACTACAGAAAAGGTAACCAATATTTCCAGTCTCTCCTGCCACTTTCTACGGTTCTACACTTATTAACCCATTACCGTATTATTTTTACCTTTAACTATCACTTCCACTTTCGTTGACTCCCAGCAGGAGGGAAATTAGTTAATGCAAGTAAGTTAGTTCTTGAAATTAGTAGACAGTTTCAAGCAGAAATCGCTGAACGTTCTTAGTACCATTTTTCGCCTAACGCTTAGATTTACTTGAATCGGCATTAGCCTTTGCTAACTATGTATGAATTCAGATCCTAAATCGAAACTCATAGGCGGACTTTCCCTTGGAAATCTCATACTTAAATTATTTAAGTTGCTTTAAATTTTGTGTTTTGTTAAACACCGCAAGAAGCGGTGACTTGTTTTGTTATTACACGAATCATGTAATTTGTTAGAAGCACTAATAAAAAGGTGTAGTTTAAATCTTCTGAGTTCAGGGTAATTTCACTGGAAAATTCATGGGGCTCATTCCGGATACTCGGAAGATCTACGAAAGAACTACGAGAAACGAGTTTTTTCTAGCACCACTTTAAGCCAAAGCGATTCCAAACCGAAACAGTCGCAATATATGCTCTGCCCCAGGTAACTAACTACCCGGAGCATTTTCCTACGAAAATGTTTCTCTGTGCATGCTATTGTCTCACCAAGGTCTTTGTTAAAGAACTGGTTTTTGTGTAAATTATCAGTAAGATATCTTGAAATCCTGGAAATGTGATTTATTTTTAGCTCGCTGTTTTGACAATAGCAAGCATTAACTACCAAGAGATGCTGTGCTAATCTCATTAAATGCTATGGCAATTCAATTAAACATACTAAATTTAATAGTTAGCTGTATTGCCATAGCAGGTAAGATGGTTAGGATACAATTATATATCTTAACCACTGTACCGCATCGCACAGACGCAAGCGATATAGTGATCACATTTTATTATGATTTCGATAGTAAAGTTAAGTAGTATAATAAATGTAGTGCGCAATGGTTATCAGCGTGAGGCAACAGATCCATTCCTGGAAGACTTTCTAAGAGAAACTCACACATAGGGAAAACCACGAAAGCATTCATGCAGTCACTGCTTAGCTGAATTCGGACCCAAGTCGACCTATAAATATCCAGCAGTCTTATTTAATCGGTAAATAATGACTGGTGAGCCTAAAATAATTGTGAATTTTCTTTCTTGATTATAAAGTTCATTATTTAATTTCGCCTTAAATCTGAAGCATATTTTTGGCATAACTTCAATTGTTTTGTTCACTTAAACAGACAACGGAATTTAGTCAAAAAAAAACATGGATCTCAGTGGAATAACTTAAAATTTTCATTCGATATACCTAATTTGTATTCCGTAAAGTTGTAGATATGCTCTTAGAAATATTGTAAGGTTTGTCATAAGTTTTTAACAGTTATCGTTAGTTAAAGCTACTTTCCTGTCCTTCCTAATTTCAGATTACAATTTCCTACCAGAATGTGTTTTTAGATTTTTTTTAATGCAAATAAGTAATAACAGTATTTAAGTCGAAGTTTCACTGACTTCGTTAAAGAGCCAGAGATTTCGACTATCGCGCGTTCGCCTTTTTCGCTACACTCTCTCTAAGCTATTACTACATTCAGCCGTATTTCCGGCACTTGATAGCTTCGCCAGCTTAGTTGTCATTTAGGGGCCAACTACTTAGAAATATTGACAGCTTCTATATCGTTTTAGTTAAGTTTTGCTTCTTATTACTTTAAGTTCAAGCCCAGGTGGAGGCTTTGCTGTACGCTCTGAAGGAACCATACGCTATTTTTTTATTTTAAGAAGTAAAGGGTAAACAACTCTTCTTGAGCTTTACGTATCTCTTTCTGAATTAAAGCGATTATTTGCTTAAGTGTTCAGAGGTTCCTACACATTTAGCTTCTAGATAAAAGGTTGGAATCCCACAAAATAATACCTAATTTCTGAAGTTTACATTCTTACCTCTACGATAGTCCACAGCGTTACGCGAGAAATCCTCTTCACTGGTATAAGATTTTTCTTCCATATCATCTATTTCATATGACCTTCGATATAGTCTGTGATTCTGACCTTCTGAACTTTCATCCAGTTCAGCAGTAGTAACTGAAAAGTAGACAAAAAATTATTATTCCTGCTATTGGATTAAATTAGGATCGTCTTATTCAAATAACGAAAATATAATAATGAACACATATCTAGAATTAATATCCATAAAGTCAAATTTTAATGACTAAGCCGCATAAAGGTAAACTCCGAGATCATATTCTGATGCACAGTTGTGAAAAGAATATAGAGTGATAAATATTTAAAATAATTTATACAACCCAGATATAAAGTGTGATATATTCTAAACTTTTATGAAAACAAAATAAAACAAACAAAAAAAATTGCGTGAAAAATTATATTTAATATGAAGTGGGAAGGTCCGTAACGATTTACAGAAGTGACAGCGAAGCGGTATGTTTAGTATTTTTATAATATCTTAGTGCATTTTTTCCCAGAAGTTCCTGAGTCATTACTGTGAAAGAAATCCTTGCCATGGCACGTTCATGGTTTTGGCATGGTGCTTAAATCACAAGCTTCTTCAAATATCTCCATTTTGAAGGAAGATTTTGGTAAGCGCAGTCCTCTGCAGATCATTTCTATTATTAGCGAGAGGTTATAAAAAGCTTCAGTTATAAAGTTAGATAAAGTGATCTTACTTTTAGAACACAGAGCTCTCAAATATGCATGCCACTTAACATTATTAAGAATCACACCAGTGCATTTCTATCTATAAATGTATCTTCTTCTTTTGGAGGCAAGATATATTTTTACTCATTGGGAAAGAGAAAGAAACCTAATGATACACTCTCTATGCAAAATGATATTCTGCAAACGTTAAAACAAGCTATAAATGAGAGATGGATAAAGTAAAATTAATGGCATACAGGTCAATATCATCCGGACTTCGACAATATGTAATTTGCACTGACATTATTTTTTTTCAGTGACTGGAAAGAGCAGTCTTATTGAATGTTACTGGTGAGCCCTAATATAATTGTGAATTTTATTTCTTGATTATAAAATTCATTATTTATTTAGTTTTCAGTTGTAATATCTACTTGTCTATCTTCTAAAGTGACCCTGAAGTATGTGTAGAAACCATACAGGAGAAAGGTTAAAAATACCCTTTATTAAACTCTTTAAAATTCACAATGCGTCGACCTGACGCTGATACACTACGCCTCACTTAAGCGATAACGCAAATAACAAGAACTAAACTAAAATTCGAAAGTATCAACAAGCAGTAGAATTACTCAACAGGGCTCAGATAATCATGTTATGTAACACCGCCTCCAAATCTAGTGGCAGCAAAGTAATAACTACGCCATTTTAACCAGCAATAAATACAGAACTAGAAGCTCACGCTACAAAGGTACAACACTTGCCCAGACGCTCTAAATTTCCCTTCTAGAGCTCGGTATTTAACCCTTTTCTCCTCAAGGTAGAATTTGCATTACTTCACGCGCGCTACCAAATTTAAATATTCTGGCATTGACAATTAGGGGAATGAAGGCTTATAGGAAAAAAAGTATAAAATAAAATTTAACTGGTTATTTAAAAAATAAATATAAACATAAATAAGTAAATAAATATAGTAACAGTGAACGTGCGTACTGATCCTAAAGCTATGTTGCGTTATTTTCTTCCAACGTTCGTAGGGGTTTGTACATTGGAGTGAATAACGACGACACTTGATGAAGTATCGAAACACACTTTATTTGGCCAATGCTGATCAGGACAGCTCCAAAGTTCACGTTTTACAGTCGTCGAAGATCTGCTATAAACACGCTGACACGATCAGCGACACACAGCCTTCAGGTTATCAGGCTATCACGGTGGAAACAGCTTCACTGCAAAGCACCAGAGTACAGCTCCGGACTCTGCTTGGTCGTTCTCGGAGCCCCACGTACTCTCTAGACCAGGGATGTCAAACTCATAGGTACACTTGGGCCAAACAAACAAGGTTTAACTTTAGGCGGGGCCGTAAAAAAAAAAAAAAAAAAAAAAAAAAAAAAAAAAAAAAAATCAAATTCATAGAAACGTAGTTTATTTCGAATAATACAATAATAAACATATATATATATCTATATAGAAAAGAACAGAAAAATTTAATGTTTACGTCCTGATACTTGACATCTCTTCTCTGCTATTATCTTTCCTATTTCGGGAGAAATTTGTTTGCAGTGATAACTTTCAACGCTGATCCAAGGTGAGCATCATTAATACGGTTTCTAATAGGAGACCTTACTTTTCATGACTGAAAATAACTGCTCGCCCGACAAGTGTACCAAACATGGAAATAATTTCATATGCGATTTTCGAGTATTTTCAAACCTGGTGGTAAATTTTAAAATTCAGGCACGCCCACTTCAATGAATTTTGCTTTCAAATTTGAGTTGCATTGAATCTCGATCACCTCCATTTGCATATGCTGGGTACTGAGTCAATATTATTGAAAAATCGAAGAAAACAAAACAAGAAAAAATGTCTTCGAGGGAACTGAAATCATTAAACCTCGTTTCAAATTCAGTTTAAATTGCAATTTTTCTGCGTATTTTTGATACGAACAAGTATCATCTAAACTTGATTTGTTCATGCTGCACGTCGGGAAGTGCGTCAAATCTTCATTTTTAAGTTGTTTTCCCAAAGAATACTTGACATTTGAATGCTTTAATTATGTCAAACTGTCGTAATGATATGATCTTTTTCTACCGTACAAAACTAGATTGGAAAACTGAGACCTGAGTTAGGCACATTCTGATCGGAGGATGCGACAAGTTCTGAGTGATGTGTTCCCCAAAAGCCGAAGGTAGCTGAACGCAAGCTACTCACACGCATTTGTAATTTAAGTAGTGTGTGTGTGTCACTCGCTGTGAGTAATCTAACAACACTGAATAAATTATGGTTAATTACTAGCAGTAAACTTTTTTTTTTTTTTTCGTCGATATGTTATTTTTTATTATATATTATTATTTGCCGATATATTGGCCGGGTCGCTAAAATAATTTGTGTGGTTTTATGCGGCCCGCGGGCGCGAATTTGACATCCTTGCGCTAGACGATACACACACTCTCAGCTCGCTAGGCGAGGCACGCACTCTATCTGACTGCGGACCAGCAGGGTTTATATAGCTTTCGGCTTGTGTTCGAGAACATTCTGGGCTAAACCGGGAAGAATGCGTTCCAGAAGGTTCTCCAACCGTCCATGGTATATCGCCAATTTTTTCGCCGAATGTGGCAACCCTAAAACTGCTTTGCGGGAAGCTATCTCACCGCGCCTGTACATTTCGTAACAATATTTTGTCATAACTTCAATTGTTTTGTTCACCTAAGCTGTCTTAAACAGAAAATGAAAATTTAGTCAAAAAATATGGATCTCATTGGTAAACTTAAGAATTTTCTTTCGGTGTACCTAATTTATATTTCGTAAAATTACAGATATGCTTTTAGAAATAAATACCTAATTTCTGCAGTTTACATTCTTACCTCTACGATATTCCACTGTGTTACGCGAGAAATTCTCTTCACTGCTATAAGATTCTTCTTCAATATCATCTATTTCATATGACCTTCGATAAAATGTGTGATTCTGATTTTCTGAACTTTCATCCATCTCACCAGTAGTAACTGAAAAGTAGACAAAAAAGTTATTATTCCTGCTATTGGATTAAATTAGGATCGTTTTATTCAAATCATGAAAATATAATAATGAACATATATCTAGAATTAATATCTATAAAGTCAAATTTTAATGACCAAGGCGTATAAAGGTAAATGCTGAGATCGTATTTTGATGCACAGTTATGAAAAGAATGTAGAATAATAAATATTTAATAATAATTTATATAATTTGTACAGTCGGGATATAAAGTATGATATATATATATTAGAATTTTATGAAAACAAAAAGTAACAAAAACTTTTTTGCGTGAAAATTCATATTTAATATGAAGTATTAAGCGATTTAGAGAATCGACAGCAAAGCGATATATTTAGTATTTTTATAATATTTTAGTACATTTTTTCCCAGAAGTTCCTGTGTCATTGCTAAAATTAAAAAATTATGTGGCATCTAACAACTTTCTTTCCATGGTATTTTCGTGTTTTTGGCATGATGCTTAGATCACTGCATCCGGACAGCCAATGAGTCTTCTTCAAATAGCTACATTTAGAAGGAAGATTTTGATAAGTGTTGTTCTGTGCGGATCCTCTCTGTTGTAAGAGGGAAGTTAAGATCAAAATCTCTACTAAAGTTAAATAAAATGATGTATGATCTTACTTCTAGAGCATAGATCTCAAATCTGCACTTCAGAATACATACCATTTAAGATTATCACGAATCTCATTAGTGTATTCCTATCTACAAATGTGTCTTGTTCTTTTAAAGGCAAGCTCAATTTTTATTCATCGGAAAAGAGAAAGGAATCTAGTCATATACTCTCTATGCAAAATTATATCTGCAAAAGTTCAAACAAGCTATAGGTGAGAGGTATACAATTTAAAATTAAAGGCGTACAGGCCAATGTCACCTGAACTTCGAAAATATGTAATATGCATTGACATGTTTCTTTTAATGACTGGAAAGAGCAGTTAATGAATAATGTTAATCTTTGATGTTTTGCACATTCGACAGCCATACCCTTGTCTTTTGAAACATCCAAGAGTCTGATGAAATTGCTGCTTTAGCTACGACACTATCCTTTTATCACGATCTTGGCGCTATCCAAAAACAAGGCCTCATTTTGCTTTTCAGATAAATGAATCGGTAATATGCACATTGATACACATTATGCGGTTACAAGCAGGGCCGGATAAAGGGCGATTGGGCACAATCGGGCCCTGCATTTGTAAGGACCCTGTGTTACCATCAAAATGAACCAAAAAAGAAATCGAAATTTAAAGCAAATTTCTTTTGATGATAATGGATAAATTATGAATTATTCAAATAATTAAAAATATATTTATTTTAAGTTCGCATTGCTGGATGAGATTTATTAATGTGTTTATTATTATATATACGAGGGTTGGGGCAAAGTCATGCAAACTATTTTTTTTCTTGTAGATATCGAACGGATCACAAAAGTCTATGTGTCGTGTAGAATAGAGTTCTGCAGAATAGTGTGTATGCGAACACAGATGCTCTGTGTAGCTAGCTCTGCGGTAGCAAGGGCTTTGAAATCAGTCAGTTGGTGAGGGTTGTGCGAGATGGAAGTAACCCGTGTTTGAGAGCGCGCTTACATAAAATAGCCGTTCCGAAGAGAATGCGATGAATGTCAAGGAATTAGTAAAGCCCTTGAAATAATGCCCGACCATATCGTATAGTAGCACGGGGGTAGGAAAGTTTCAGTAAGGCGTTTGTCAACCAGTGATGAGCAACGTTCGGGTACCGGTGAGTGTGCGGACGACTTGCACGTGCCGTTATCGAGCATCATGAATGAAGATAGACGATGGACGTACTGGAGTAGAGGGCAAGTGGGCATCGAGAAACGCACCGCCACGGATATTGCTAATGAGCTCAGCTACGCAAAATCGCTTCGCGGGGGGTAGGACCGCATGCACTGACGAAGTTCAAAAGTGGGTGCGCATGCAATATGCTCCGACCACTTTGTACGCTGGCAAACAGGACGGCGATCAATTCTTTGTCACGAATAATCGCATCGATTAATTTTGGCATGGGCATACGAACCAGGACTGAAATTCAGTCCAGGAGTGGGCAATCCTGGATCACCAAGGCAGCAGAAGGTCCGTCAAATCCTTCCCCATTCAACTTGATGTTAATCGTGAGTATGAGGTCAGGGGTGTCATTGTTTGCCACTTGTTCCTCATGGCAGAACAGTGACCGAGTACTACAGGACTTCCTGGTGCGAAAGGTACGAGTGGCGTCGGGATAAACGTCCGAATCTTGTAGCAGTGCAAAATTCTGACGGCAATGCAAGACCACATAAAGCAGAGTGTGTACGGCAGCTACTCCGACGTTGGGATGGGGAGAATTGGAGCACCCCCAGTACTCTCCTGACTTTCGCCCGTGACTTTGATCTCTTCCCAAGATTAAGGAACCAACATGTGTTAGGCGGTTTGCAACACAAGAGGACATTGCTAATGCTGTACGCCAACAGATGACCCGATTCACACATGGTGCGGCAAATGCTGAGGCTGATGGTATTCAGCGCCTCTCACATCGTTGGCAGCGTGTGGTGACAGTAGCAGGGGACTACATTGAGGGTCTTTAGGCCCAGGTTTGTCATGTAAACTTTATGTGTATTGTGTTATCATTCTTTTGCACGGTGAAGGCCATATTGACATGTATACTACCGTAATAAATTCGTCTGTTAAGATATTTCAGTGCTATTCATTGTCCACACATGTAGCTAAGACTACGTATATACTTTATAATATAGAAAACTGATAATCGTAAAAGTTCATGTCAAATGTATTGAATTTAATCTTTTTTAATGTTGTTTTAAATAAAGCTACAGAATCACTAAAAGATCGTTTTGAACAATTAAAAAATAATAATGAATTATTTGGGTTTCTGGGAAAATTTCAAAATATGGAAAAGAAGTACTTCAAAAACATGCATCTGAATTAGAAATTTCTCTAACAGATTCTAAGTTAACAGAAAATGATGTACCAAAGGTGAAAGAAGCTGATATAGTTGGAAAAATGTTAGTTGAAGAAGTGGAAGCTTTGAAATCTATTTTTCCTTCAGAATTTTTTGAAAATCCGTTTAAAATGTTCAAATTTTTATCGGATAATGATAGAGCAACGGCATTTCCAAACTTGTTTATTGTTATCCGAATATTCTTAACAATTCCAGTAAGCGTTGCTTCTGGAGAGAGGTCATTTTTCAGTCTAAAACTAATAAAAAACTATCTGAGATCGACAATGAATCAGGATAGATTAAATAATTTAGGAATCATGTCGATTGAAAGTGAAGACGCAAGGATATTAAATTTTCAAACAATTTTAGAAGAATTTACAGAACAAAAACTTAGAAATATTCAAATTCATGTATTCATATTCGGTGATGTAAATTTATATTTGATAAATGTTTTTGTATTTTGAACATTTTTATTTTTTAATTTATGTAGAAGTTTACCTATCTGATAATCCATGACATTTAAAAATCCAATCGGGCCCCGCACCTATTCGATCCGGGCCTGGTTACAAAATCACAAATAGCTTTTCCGTTTGATCATAATAAAAAGCGATAAACGTTTTCGGCGAGATGATGTAGGCTACTTAATTTAAATGCATTATACATCTCAAGTTTCTACCGTTCGGTAATTGTTAGTCGAATCTTTCAAACGAGAATTTGCATAAATTTGCCGCTCGGTACAATTGTTATACTTATTTTAACGAAACAACTAAAAATATACTTTGTGCTACAATTTTAGAAATATGGATATAAAAGATTTATAAAAATATTTTTAGATAAAAACACTTACTTTCATTCCAGCATTCGTCTGGATGAACACAAGCTCCATCTTCCCTTTTAACAAATCCTTGTTTGCAAAAGCAGCCAGAAGTGCACAAAGCGGGACAAACAATATCATCACGGCCATAACTTTTGCAGGTGTTTCGACAAGGAATGCATTCGTAGTACTCTTTGTCCTTCTCACACTGGATAGCAGGTTTGCACTGTTGTGGTTGAACACATCTGCCGTCTTCTCTGAGAAAAAGACCCTTTCGACAAAAGCAACCACGGCGACATCTGCGGGAGCAGATCCTTTTTGGATGACATCTATTTTTGCAATCTGGTATACAATCATAATACTCTTCATCTACACCACAAGCTGTAATAAATTTTTGTTTAGAAAGAACAATTGTGAAACTATGTGAATGACAATTATCACAATTCGCAGTTGAGTAACCAACTGCATAGCGTTCTTATAGAGTTTCGCATTCACAGATTTCTTAGAGTTTTGCATAAAATTATAAATAAAAACATTACTAAAATGCCGTTGCATAAAATTATGGATAATTTTTCTTATACACTCACTTTTAAAAGTTCCATCTCACTCTTTGCTTCTACGTTTTCGGTATCGCAAGTCACTTCTTTCATGTGCATATGAAATGCATATTAATGCGTTCATACCTCTTAAAAATAACAAAATATATGAAATTCTTTTGTCCTGTAAATAAATAAGATCCTAAAACCAATGCATAGCAAAGCATCGATTTGAAATTTGCAAATTTCCTGCAATATTAACAATTCAAATGACACGCAAGCTTCCGTCACTGTTTGTGGATAAAATATTATTATATAGCGTGTTGATAAAATTTTTAAGCGACCTTTTTTTTCTCACATGTTGCTCATAAATATCCACTTTAATTCCAAAAATGTTTCAAATGATGTTAATATTCATGTTACTGTATTTTTAAATTTGAAAAAAAGACCTTTGTGAAAAACGTCCGAGGCAATAGCTTTTTATATGCTATCCCAGTTCCTATGCTAACATTAAATAAAAGCATACATTCCTTCTTAACAAAGTGACTGCGTACGACACAAATTGATCGAGATATTTAATTTCAGAGTCTGAAAGTTAATCGCTTTCCTTGAAGGATTGGCTAAAAATTAAATTATGATAATTCGAAATTGATTTTTTCCCTTTTACTATCATTCAATGATATTCCTTTTGATTTAATAATGTGTAAGATTCTTCAGTTTTATAACTTTTACCTTTGGTAGGCCGAAAACAAATTCGAACAAGTAACTTAAAAATTTTTAAATACTGAAAACATATTAATAATATTCACGACAGTTTTATTAATTTAGGATTATAATGTAATAGTCATACAAAAAATGAAGAAAGGAAGAAAAGCGACTAGAAATATTTTAAATTTATAATGTTATAATATACATAATATTCACAATTTACATAATATTCCATTAAAAAACGCATTTCACGAATACAATGTCATGTGCAATATTTATAAGTTTGTAAGTGTTACGGATGCTGTGGGATTTAGTTGGAAAATGCATTACATATACAATTGTGCTATAACCAACCACTAAATTACAAATATTACACAACTTACTTAAATTTCTACATTCTCTGGGAGGAACACAAGCGCCATCTTCTCTCTTAATTAATCCTTCTTTACAGGAGCAGCCGGAAATGCAAATATCTGGACATTCTAAATCTGTCCGACCGTAATTCTCGCAAGTATTCCGACAGAAAGGAATACATGTGTAGTATTGTTCATCGCGGCCGCATTGCTGAGGAGGCTTTTGAGTAGTAACTGCTGTGGTATTGCAGTCTTGAGGTCTGACACATTTACCGTCTTCTTTGAGAACCAAACCTTTCCGACAGAAGCAACCCGAGCGGCAGATGAGAGGACAAAATTTAGATGGATTGCACCGATTTTTGCAATCCGGTATGCAGTCGTAGTATTCTTCTTTCGGGCCGCAAGCTATAAAATAATATTTTCAGTACATATTAATCACATAAGTATGCGAAGTATAATGTTGCACCTATATAATAAATAAATAAATAAGAATTAGCATGCGTGATAAATATTAAGAATAAAAGCCATTTAGACAAACATTCTCGTACAATGATTTGTAATCGTATAAAGTACGTTAAGTCGTGAAAATTAAATTTTGATATTCTCAATTCACGTAAATCAGAACTTAATTTTCTGTCGTATGTGATAGAAAATCAATTAAAATTTCGACTATATTTGACTAGAAAAAATTAATAACAATTAATAATAACGAAGGTTGTAAAACAATCTTTTTAAAACGGCACGACCCGTGCTACGGAAAACCCTCGAAAAACACTGCTTGTGGCAGTGCACCTTAATTAAGAACAATTAAATTAATTAAGAATACATACGAGTATATCCGTAGTCTAACAGTACATAGTTAAATACTAAGCTACAGGTTGACTCAATAATTTTAACTGTGCATAAATTTATAGTATCGGCGGCGAGAGAACGCAAATTCGAGATACTTACAACTAGCTAGAGCTGACAGAATCTAGGCACGCTACACTGTTACTAGTGTTAGGAACTCTCTCTCAAGGTCCAAGAAAACTTCGCTTCCATCCAGAACAAAGTAATTTGCATTCTGGTGAGAAATAATTCTGGTCGAAAGTGGAAGGGATAGAAGGGTAGTACAGGCAAAATAATAAGAAATATTTCTGTTTATTTTATTGTAGGGTTTTTTTAAATTTTGAAAGCCATTTTTTTAAAAACTAAGGTTTTCTGTTTAAATAAACAATTGACTACAATTTGACGTAGCTAAAAAACGCGTATAGTTAGTTCATTTAAATGAAACTCGTAGTACAGAGGTTAATATCCTAAAACCTGAAATAATAGTCATAGGCATTTTGGAAGGCATGTCCTCATGATTCAAACTATGGGAACTGAAATCGAAGAATGGTAGAGTACTTAATAAACTAATCCATGATAATTCTTTTGATCTCGTCGTAGTTCTAAAATAATTTATTTTTAAATGACGTGTCCAATTGATCAGATATAGACTAGTCGCTCTTACTGTAAGGCCGAATGAAAAAGGACATAATTTAGAAATGTTAAAAGTTTAGGAATAAGAAATCTTTGAAGCATAACTATAACACCTTGGAGGCGAATTCCAAATAATTCCGTATTTTTCACCAAAATAGCCAATTTGATAGATATGTACAATGTGGAAAAAAAAAGGCACAGTTCTATAATCTCTCGTTCTACTGGGTCGATTGACGAAATTCAATTTGCGTTTTTCATGTCTCGAAAGCGCGACTTAGGATATGCATTAGATTTATATATAGCATTTTTCTAATATAGGTATTTTGACACAAAATCGGACTTTTTCTGAAATGACATGCTCAGTTTTCTCCATATTTCGACTCAAATTATGCCAAACTGCCAAGTTTTGTAAAAATCACACGAGCAGTTTTTAAAAAATTGAATATTAATTGAATTTGATATATATATATTAATATCTCTTTTTATTAAACTTACTGTATTCCTTCTTCCAGAATTCAGAATTTAGGCTTAATCCAAATACAATTCGCACATTTTTTATGATTTATTTTTAAATACGTTTTATAAATGTTTCGACAAAATTTTTGTATTATAACCTATAACATTTTTAACATCATCTTAAAGTAGATGTATTTCTAGGCACACCTGCAAAATTTAGAGGTTTTCTTTAAAAAAATTTCTAAGATATGCATGAATTTACATATTGGCGAGTTTTGAAATTTGGCATCTTTTTCTTTGAGTGATAGTAACGCCAAACGCAGTTTGCGCACTTTCTTAAAATTATTTGAAAGTATGAATAATGACTTTCTTCTCGCTTGTTTACAATGGAAAAAAAAGAAAGAAAAATAGGTTGCTATCAATTAAGAATTTCATGAAGTGAATTATTCTTGGAGCAAACGGAAAAAAATGCGCGAAGGTAAATTTTTAAATTTCTTTGCAAACTTCACACCAAAAATTACAAAATTTAATATATAGGCATAATTTGAGTCGTAGAATCCAGATATGGATAAACATTGGCCTGTCATTTCAGAAAAAATCCTATTTTGTGTCAAAATACCTATATTAGAACAATGTTATATAATCCAAAGGGGCTTTTTCCCTGAAGGACTATTGTTTTCGTTTTGCGATTTTGCGTCGAATCACTATAAACGGCGTATCACTTTTCAAATTGTTGCCACCAAATGTTACAGTCCTGCATTATATTTGAAGAAATTAAATAATGAAGAATGAATGTATTTATGTTTCTCGCATTGTGATAAAACAACGGTACCTAGAACGATCCAATTTTGAATAACGTAATCCTACTGCGAATATGGGCATCTGAAAGCCTAAATTTTAAATTTGGACTTTGTTCTATTATCGATTTCATATTTTGTAAACTTTTGACGAATTTTTGATTAACAAACTCAACGATTTAAAAGCGAGCAATGGCAACACTCTACGAGTGAAAAAAAAAAAAAAACATTTTTAACTCCAGCGCGCGGAACTGTGTATCGGAAATTCTAAAGATATGCTCATTTTAAAATTATTTTGCAACATTGCTGTGATATTTGCACGAAGAACGTGATATTTAATAAATAAAGGTAACACACAAAACGTTAAAAAATATACCCCTTCGGATGTAATTTAAAATCTGAAACCTTTCAGATTGATTTATATATTTATTTATTAATTTTTGGCGCAGTGTATTATATTCATGCCGTCTTGCATCACAAAAGCATATTTGGGAGGTATGCATGTTTCTGACAACCTAACATTTTTAAGTTCGACAGTTAGGTTTAGAGATATCTTGAGAAACTCACTATTGCCCTCACTCGCAATCATTGAATAACTGCCTCTGTAAACTAAGCGTTGCATCACAAGAGTGTATGGAAAAATGCCTTTAATTCGTTGCAGTTGCATATTTAATTTGGAAAGTTTCATGCGAATGACGAGGAAAGAATGCGACATTCTAGGATTATGCGAGAAATTCTGTAGGACTTTAAGTATATTAACCATTTATCTTACAATTTTTTACTTTTATTATATTATTTTTGTTTGCTCTTACCAGGATGCAAATTAGATAATGTATATATTATAGAAGTGAGTACTTGAGTTTAAGAAAGAACTTGTGGCAGCGACCACTGACCGTCTCGATACTATTTTTCTTCCAGGATATGAATTTTCTTAAATAGGTTTAGCCTTTGCTTACGTCAAGTCGAGGATCTGGATCAAAACCTAATAGGCACACTTTGTCCTCCGAATCTCACATTTTAATACTGAAAATTATATGGGACTTACGTTTCTGTTAATCAAGTAGAAACGACAGTTCTGCTGGTACACATGTCGTGTATATTATTAGGATAAAGAAGCTTTCTTTTAAAAACACCTCTGAGTTCGAAGTTAATTTCATTGGAAGATTAAAACGGGCCGATAAGCCGCCTGATTCTCTTCACTGAGCAAAGCCCCCTGCAACTTACTCTTCTAAGTTTTTGTTAAGGCCATTTTGACTTCGGTTGCTTATTCACTGCTGAACTTTTATATTATATGCTTTGAACCACAGGTATAAAAATAGAATAAGCATAAATTTTCAGATATTTACGATTCTCCGACAAAGTGATGCCAGATGATTCCACTGGAACGCATATTACAGTTTTGTAGTTCATATGATAATATTATGTTTTATTACCAACTACGATTCTGTTAATCGAGAATAATTGGATAGAACTTCATTTAAATTCCTCACGAATCTAAGTTTTGCTTTTTGCCTAATTTTAAAGTAAGGAAAATCACAGGAGTTTTGTAAAATTAAGCCAGTTAAAAACCCTCGTGCCGGCGAGGCTGTACATATGCGGCCTAGAATAATTTTGTGACATCTTTAAGAAAGTATCTATACTTGGATCTTGATATATAACCAGATATTTAAAGAAATATATTAAAAGTGCATGAATCCAGGTTTAAAGTGTCAGGGGCATTTTGACATTAAAATCGAAAAGATACCTTTTTCTCATGGAAATATGCGCTATTTTAGCCACACCCCGCTGTCAGAAGGTTTTAATGAAAGTAGTAACTTAAAGTAAATTATCTACTAAATTATGAAATGAAACTATGAATATGAAATTAAACACAAAAATGTATTTGTAAACTATTAATCTATTCATTAGTATATCTCGCGAAGCCCCCAGCAATTTCTCATGGTACATAGAGTTGGAGTAATAAACGTTGGTTTAAAATAATCTGTTTCTCTAAAGGTGATTAGTTTAGTTCACTCATTAATGAGTTCAAGCCAGCGTTCTGCAGCAAGATATTCAACCGTTTTTAGTAAATATCCAGTTTTGTTAACTTAATTTTAACTAAATTATTTCAATGAGCTTTGAGTACTACGTTTAACTTAATTTTAGCTAAACCATTTTAGTGAATACTACGTTTAACTTTAGTGAAAAGGTTTGAGTGCTTCTGAAATTAAAATATATTTTTCAGCTTAAATTTGTAAATGTTTCTATTACGTTAAAAACTGTTCTGAATTTATTTCAGTTATAATCAAAATGTGTTAAAATACGCTTTAGTTCTCGTTGATAATTCCATTTTATTTAGTTTAAGACTGCTATTAAATTAAATTGTTAAGAACATTGCTTTTAACAGTAGTTGTTTATAGATTAGATCGCATATGAACGTTTGACTGGCATTGAAAATCTGAAACTACAAATATAAACTTCTAAATTGCTAGGTTAGTTTAAGTACGGTAGTGCTGGTTTTCGTCTTCCTCCTCCACAATGCCCAGATGCTTGCTCGAAAAAAATCGTCGGGTATGCTCGAACGAAGTATTTATTTAATTATCTCATCATCAAGAACGTTTATTGCCACTAACACCGCTGTAGTCTCCAACGCGGCCAAAACAGGCATTAATTTTACTAAATTACTATTATTTACCTTAATTTAAGATTAGATAAATCAAAAAAAAGTTTTAGACTGACGTAGATTTTAAATAAAATTTTGTTGATTTCCGGGGGGGGGAAGTTTTGTCTCTTTCAGAAGCAAAGAAATTCTAAAAGAAAAGGAATTCTCCCTCGAAATCGATAGCGGTTATATAAAAGTGATGTTTTGCCAATATTAATGTCACTCAAAAAATAATGCGTAATTGTCTGTAGCTCTATATTGGTAAGCACTAGCTTAATGAAATTTTTTAGATGGAATCATTTATCCTTTACCAAATAATCTACAACTAGTTTTTATTTCCTTTTATGCAAATAAGCCACCAGGATGATCAATTTGACACCCTACTACGTACGTAAACATGCCGTGAACCAATTCTTCTACAGATCGGGAGACAACTCCGCAACATTGATTCGCAGGAATTTATTGCGAATTTATGAGTACATAACAATGAATTTAAGTAATGCATGTCGATGACTGCAAATATTTTGGCGTTTTTGCAATATCCAGGGCCAACCACGGTCAGAAAGACCGTCACAAAACACATTAGTTGTTGAGAAACTCATTCAAAATTACAAATGTATCACGGAGCACAAAGATATGGCAAAAGTTTTGTTAACACTAAACCAACGACTGAAACACTGAAAAATGGTTGCACAACTCTTGACAATGGATATGTTGCAAATCAAGGAAAAGGTACGTGGTGAAAATCTGCAAAATTTCTCAGGGCATTATCCAGAATGCTTTTCTGGCGATATGGCGGGTGTGGAAGTTTTTCTCTTTCATTTCCATTCTGAGAGCAAAAGACAGTCGATGGAACGAAGGCACATTCGCGAGATGGCTGTAGCGCAGTAAAGCAAATGGATCATATATCGGGTGACATTTTCAAAAGACTAAATGAGTAATGTTTCCACCTACAAAATTTCATTTCGCGTGTGCTTACCATTACTGAGCTGCAGTAAGAATGTGAGTTACTTTTGGACTGAACTTTGCATATTGTTCGGAAAATTTGCTTAATTATATTACACTGATATAATTAAAATAATATAAGAATGAACTGAGCATGAATTCTGCCAGAATAATATTTTAATATAAAAATGAAAATAATAAAAATTTTTAGAACAATGAATATTTTTATACCTGGGGGACAACGCTCTGGAAGCACACAAACGCCATCTTTCCTCAATACCATTCCTGGCTTGCAGAAACACCCAGGAATACACAGCTTGCTGCAATACGCTTTAGTAGAATTATACGTACTACAAGTGTGTCTACATGTCGGCTTGCATTTATAATATTGCTGGTTCTCTGGACATACGTGTGCTGGAAATATTAAAAGCATAATACCGCTTTAGTGTTTTCAATAGCTAAAGGACGAAATTCAGAAAAAAGGCTATCTATACTAAACATCATATAACAGAAGTCCGATAATCTGCCGTTTTCTGGATTTAAACGAAAGCTGATTGTCAGATATACTGGATTATAGGACTAAAATTATATATTGCGACAAACTGATTTCTGAACGATTTATTCAATGTATTGAGGAGTAAATGAAAAATGCACGTACTAATTCTTGAAAACGCATTTATTGAATAAACTTATTAACAAATAAGTAGCTTCATTGTTTAACTATATTTAATTTGCTTGAAAAAAAAAATCAATTCTTTCTTTTAAATCAAGGTTTCTTAAACAGTGGATCACGACCCCCAAGGGGGTCGCTGGACCTGCAGCAGGGAGTCGCCAAAACATTTAGAAGTTTTGATATATTTTGACTTACTTTTACAATACTTTTACAATTACCAAATATTTTTACACAATATATCTGAAAATAGATAAAGATAAGACAATACAAAGAAAAAAACGAAAACGTTTCGACACATTCGTTTTATAATATAAACGCTCGTTTTCCTTGCTTTGCACGTGACAGTCTCATTTCGTCTGTTACTTATTCAAAATTTTTCACATTGTTGTGCGTCTTAAAATTAGATTAATAAAATTAGTGACCTAAAACCGACTGCAATAGTATATTACAGTGCAAGTGAAAAAAATTTAAAGTTTCACTCACGCGTGTGTCGGATTTGCGCAATACTTATAGAGTCCCACAAAATTTTTGTAAATATTTTGGGGTCCTGGAGGTAGCGAAAAAATCTCGGCGATAAAAAGGGGTCGTGACTTTTTTTCAGTTTAAGAAACCCTGTTTTAAATCATCATTATTACCAATGCATAAGATCTTTTCAGACACAGTTATTCACCTGAGTTATGCATTTCGCCGCTGAAAAGGCTAAGCTTTTAAGAATTATTTTAATAGCTGGTAAAAATATGGTTATTAATACCCAATTTCCAGCAAAGTAATAAAAATGTTGGAAAGGGAAAGAAAGGAAAATCCAAGAGTTTCCTTTCTTTCCCGTTCCAACATTTTTATTAAGATTCGAATATGCTTTAGTGGCAGGCTTTGTAAATGTTTGCTTCTTTTAGCCTCTAATTTTAGACTCTTCCTGTCACTTGGCGCCACAAAAACTAGTTTGTTCTAAGCATCAGTGCGTAGTTGTTAATGGCCATATTCGTCAATAGAACTGAGCCTGCGAAAGTCAGTGTTCTTGGCTGCTCTGCTCCTGTGTTTAGAGTACAGGGCCTTGAGTTCTGTAACTTGATGCTGCAACCAATCGGGTCAAACAAACAAGCGTCTAGACACGAACGATTTGGAGAGAAGTCCTTTCCGTACAGTGAGCGATACGCAACATTTTAAATAAATAAAAATAAAGAAAGCAAATGATATACAAAAGCGAAGTTTTAATAAACATACGAAAAATAAGGTAATGAATTACCTTTCTGGAGCTAACTGTTAGTAATACCATCATGCAGCTGAAATGTCAGTGAAAGTGGTGTCGAGTTACTGGACATCATGAGCCACAGGCTATATTATGGAACTTTTTTCTGCACTAATAAGAGCATATTTTTTTTTTAAATCCATATTAGATTAGCGCAAAACAAAATAAACATTTATAAATATTTACTGATTTTGCCTTTCTCGAAACAGGAATACTTTAGTCAGCAAGTACTTCTTAAGGTTAAGCTAAATTTTCGAATAATTTAAAAAAGTTATGACAAATTAACCTGTGTTTCAATTTAAAGACGCATAAAAATAAATAAACGACTGAAGGTCAAACTTCTTGCGTGCTGGTATTCTTTACGCCTGTGAGAGAAGTCACCAGGTTTCTTAGTAGGATCTAACAGAGTTTATGTTACCAAAGAAAACACGATCCTATAAACTAAAATACATTAAATACCTACAAAAGTTTAAACTGTACTCAAAAATAAAATATGTAACAAAAGGAACTAAATATTTGTAAATAAAATTATTAAAAGGCACTGAAAACTGAAAATAAAATGAAATATTAATTTAATGCACTGTTTGCTAGCTGTGGCCAAAGCAAAATTTATAATTTCTATATACACCTGAAAAGGAATGCATAAAAACATTTCAGTATGAATGAAATCAGTTCATTTTTTCCAAGCAACAAACAATTCGTAAACAGTTTTTTGTTGCCAAACCAGGAAATAAAAGAATAGATTACGTATGACGTTATGATTTAAATTTAATGTATTGTAATAGCTTTTTCTTAACATAAATAAAAGAATTAACATGGCAGTAACATGTCGTTGTAACCTGAGTTCGGAATAAGCAGATACTTAAAGAAATGAAGAAATGAAGATCGATTCCATACATGACGATATACTTTCTACTTACATAATGTTTTCCAGAAAATGGAAAATTCAGAATACCACCATAGAGGAGAACTTGGAGGCTCTGACCCAACTATTGAACATACTGCCAGAAGGCAAAAAAACATTCATCACAATCCAAAACGGTAAATTTTTAACTGTTTCTCAAGCTTACATCTTCAAATTCACGCTTATTTTCCAGCATCATTGCCGTGGTCAGCACTTGGGTGGGTGACCACCCAAGTGACTGACACGGTCGAATCTTCTTTCTTCTGTGTTTACAACTTGACAGAGCAGGGTATGGATTCTGTTTCCTTAAATTTTTATAAAGCAGGGACTTTGTTCTTCATGTATTCATTTTCAAACCTGCTTTTCACGTTTATGTGTTTTATGATCCGACAAAGCGGCTTATACACTTTGCAATACCTGACTAAGCAAGTTTTTGATTTAGTAATTTACATTGTGCATTTGTATCTTCATCGTTATAGTTCCAAGTGTAAAACGACAGCATACTCCAAATATTACAAGAAATATGTGTTCTCCAACTGGAAGATATATTTTTATAGTACTTATGCTGACTGAGTTCCTCCTACAAAAGACTCATTTAGTTTTTAATGGCGACACTCGTCCATGGACTCGACTTTTCGGCGTGAGCACGCCTGGGCTCTTATTAAACATTTAAATAACGCCAGCGCCCTTGAGCAAAAACATTAAATATACATAAAAGCTTATTTTAAATGCTCGACTTGTATCCTGATGACCAATGACCAAACTTACAAATTTTTTACTTTCAAACTCTACGATTTGAAAGCGAATAGAACTTCTTGAAATAAAGCAGATTTTTATCTCCAGCGTGCGAGACTGTTGCCACATGAAAAAAATTAGGGCGAAAATTAGCGTTTTTCCGAGTTTTAATTAATATCTCGTCTGATGATAACAAGTCGTACGAAGATGCGAATGGTCGAAATTGCTTCCCACGAATTTTTGGAATCAGGAGTACCTCTCTCGAAGCTCAACTGCCTGCCGTTCCGGAAGAGATAATGCTGTAAAGAGCAACTGCAAACAAAAAGTTACGGAGGCCTTTTAAATCACTCAAATGAACTATAAGTTCTCCAGATGAATCAATGTGATAATTTTATAAATTAACAACTATTTTTCAGTTAAAATGCAGCCTTAAATTAGCATTGCTAACATAAAGAACATCAAAAAACTGAAAACACTGCGTTCTAAACATTACGTAAAACGAAAGACCGTTTTTCTTAATAAAAATAATAGTCGTTTCCATTCAACAGCAAGAAAAGTAATAACAAAACCATAGTTGAAAATCACACGTGAAGTAATTGTTAAGTTTAAATAACGATATTAATTATTGTACAATCTTTATTCCTACTTGAAATTTAAAAAGTGAAATTTAAAAATTGAACTTTCGAATAATTCTGACAGATATATCACTTTTTGCACAAGCCTTCAAGACATCAACATCAGTCTTTGCTGACACTTCTAATGGATAATGTCTTTGAATAAGATGTATATTCTCACACTTAATTCTTATTCTCGCAACTTCTGGAACACCGTCTCGGAAAACTCTCGCAACAAACCAAGCTATAGCTGTTTCAGCATTGCTTGGTGCTGAGCAATCATCTTCTCAATGGCAAGACTGTAAAGATATAATTGTTCGATCTATTTTGTTTAGCAATGTGAATGATTCCTCGTCATCTACAGCATTCACGCACTTGAATAGCAGTCTGCTCTTTGCCTCTTGATATGTCTTATGTATATTTTTTTTTCAGGTTTGTGCTTCTATTTGGCTGCTATTTTTCGCAAAAGCAAATTTAAACTCGGTGATAAATAAGTATCACTATTTTTATCAAGACAACGATCCAGTGGTAGCTGATTTGCCTTGTTTACGATTTGGACGTCTTCTCCTCTTGACAAGAAAAGCGTTACACTAGGAAAACTATCTTGTCGGCAGCAATGCGGAGACGAGTATCACCAGGTTCATTGATAGCACTAACATCACAACCATAATCCAGATACAAGTAGCATATATCAACACTTCCAGAAAATTCAGACCAGTGAAGTCCTGTATTAGCTTCATTGTCCGTTATAATTAGAATTGGCACGTCTTTTGAGCAGATATTTGACGACATTATATACTTGTCGCGTTCAGAAGCCCACACTATAGTAGTCCACCCACCGTCATCCTGTGCATTTAAACCCACCTCTCTTGAAGTTGTAAAATCTACTTGTCTATCTACTAGAGTAACCGCTGAAGTATGTGTAGAAACCATACCAGGAGAAGGAAATACCCTTTGTAACAGACCTATTTAAGTGTAATTGAACTATTTTATTCACGCCATGAACTCATGAACTGTAACCGAACTATTTTATTTAAACGCCATCTCGTGGCGATATGAAAAAACGTCAGTCGAACTCCAGCCGCCATATGTTAGTTTACTATGTCTCTGTTATTCAACTGTTTGATTGTTCATTTTATGTATATTTTTTGTTTGTAAACCGTTCCTGTGTGCTCTGTTATAAATCCTTTTAAAGCTATCCGGCATTAGTGTCTATTGAGGAACGGCTACATCACATTGGCG